TCAGAAGGCTGAGCAATCGCCTCATTCAGCTATGCTATATTAAACTCTACTATTATACTATATCACACCAAGGAAAAACCTGTGACCCTTTCAGACATTCACAACACAGCTTTGACCCAACTGGCCAATCAACCCAACCATCACCAGTGTCCAATTAAGAAATCACTCTCATAAACTGTTAAGTGTTTTTTGCAGGTTGAGGAGTTTCTGCAGGACAATGACCATAGTCAGCCGATGCACAATCCAGCCAGCTTGGGATAATGGACAATGGACACGTGCACAAACAATGAATAATGGACATATTCAGAAATGGGGTTGGTATATCCTTGACAGAGATACAAGAAGAGTCATCAGGACTCAGCAGGTTTGTCAATGAGCTTGGGAAAGTAAGGAAAAAGAGAAGTCATGGCCAGACAACCACAGCAAGATGCATGAAAAATTAGGTGATCCAATCACCATTCTAATTTAGACATGTAAATAGCTAGGATAACCAATCATGTATTAGCTAGAGACACAGGGACATTACAGTCAAGATTTATTATAAATAGAGTCTTTTTAGGGAGATAATAAACTTGGCTTCACTGGATCATACTGGTCATGGTGTGATGTCCCTGAACCTCCACACTCCGCAATAAACAATCTCCATAACACATTCCCCATGTGCCAAACAACAGGGGCACTGAATACTCCATAACACATTCCCCATGTGCCAAACAACAGGAACAGCAAATACCCCATAACACATTCCCCATGTGCCAAACAACAGGCGCACAAATAGAGATAAGAATCGTTTTCTCTTCTCTGAGCTTTCTCACTGCTTCCCCAGGAAAATCCCTTGGGAAGGCTGTGCCTGCTGTGCCCACAGTGAGCGTGCCGGGCTGTGCCCGTGCTCACGGGATGACAAACCCCCCAGTTCCCTTTTTGGGGCGCTTACCCAGCAGAGGGCCAGGTGCAGCTGCAGCTCGGCCAGGCGGCGCCCCACGCACATCCTCCTGCCGATGCCGAAGGGCACGTGGGAGAAGGGGTGGATGGAGCCCCTGTGCAGCCAGCGCTCGGGCCTGAACTCTGCCCAGCCCCTGAAATAGTCCTCGCTGCAGCCCAGGGCGTGGCTGTTGATCATCAGCACCGTCTGCAGCAAGGCAGGACAGGGAACAGGTCACAGAGCCACCCTCCAGCATGAGGATGGAGAATCGCGGCACATGTCATATATACATATCATGGTATTGGCTTTTGGCAAATATTAAAGTGGGTTCTATATGTGTGAGGCTAAAGTGACTTGGTTATAAAGATATAGTTTTTATTTCTGTAGTTAATTAAGCTTAGATATAGCAGTGAAATAGCTATGCTTGGTTAAAATAACTACTTAAATAAAATAACATCCAATGAACATACGAAGAAGACCCTGCTACACTTATACCAACTATCAACTCCCACATCTGAAAACAGTGTAGATCAAAGCCCAAAAATTAAAAGTAATAAAATAAAAATAATAAAAATAGGCTAAAACCCACAAGCAAAGAATATGCATGCTCTGAAAAAAGTAAAACCAAACAAGAGCCATACCAAACAGTTCTTATAATATGTAAATTAGTTTAAAGAAAAATTTTACTATGCATAATTGTTTAGGAATATGCAACAAACTAAGGTAATAGAAATAGTACATAAAAAGTGTTTCTAAAACAAGTGTACTCTTAGCTAAGTACCAAGATACACCCAACCATAATAACCTTTACTTTATAGTCCTTGTCTCCTATTGTCCTTTAATAAACTTTTTAAATTTTCAAAAGAAAGTGGATGTGTTTTTCACAGCCCAGCAGCTTTCTCAGGAGGGGTCAAGGAATTCTCAAAAAATCAACTGGAATAGCTCATCAAAATTATTTCAAGCAAATATTTCTGTCTAAGTCCAGCTGCAGTGCAGGCAGGTGTGGGTTTGTGTTTATGGGAACCCTTGGGGTGAATCCCTCATTCCTTGTCCTGGGGCTGGTACTTTGGCAAAGCCAGCTTGCAACTGAAATATGAGCAACTCCTGTGGTTTAAAGGGCAATTAATAAATTAAAAACCATCCCAATAAACAGAATTAATTGCCTTACCCCTTTGGGCAGCATGTAATTTCCCAGAACCATTTCTGTGTCGATGGTGCGGGTGGTGAAAGGCACTGATGGGGTTAATCTGCAGGGAAAGAAGAATTGAGTAAATTCCCAGCTATTTCCCTTCTTTCATCTCTCATATTTTCCCTCAATCAGCAAGATGAACAAAATTCCATGTGCTGGAAAATTCCTTCTCCCTTGTACAAAGAAGCTGGTGAAACACTTGGGGATGGTTTTGAAGGATTTTACCTCATGGATTCTTTCAGACAGGCTTTTAGGTAGGGCATGCTCCTCAGGCTCTCGGCACTCGGGCTCTGCTGAGCACCCAAAACTCTCTGGATTTCCTGGAAAAGTTTCTGCTGGACGTAGGGATTGCGGGAGAGGTTGTACAGAGCCCACAGCAAACTGTTGGCTGTCTGGAACAGAGCAGAAAGAAAGGTGAAGCTCTCCTTTTGTAGGCACAGAAGGAAGAATTTGCCCAAAATTCAAAGCAACATTTCTGGCTGGGCACAGCTTTATGGAGTTATGACAGCCTGAGGGGTTATGAGCAGTCCCAGTTGTCGTGTGGAATTAAAAATCTGGGGATTTCAGGTCAAAATCCAGGGATTTCAGGTCAAAATCCATCTGCACTTGGGTCACTGAGGCCGCTTCAGGATGAGCTCACTTCCAGGTGTGCTGGTGCTCAGGTTGGGGAAGGAAGGGGGAACTGGGATGATTTGAAACCCTTGGAAAATCAATTTTACCATCTCCACTCCAACAATCTGCAGCTAAAGGAAGGAATTGGGGGAATTTGAACTCTTGGAAGATCAGCTTCACCATCTCCACCTCAGTGATCTGCAGTTAAGGAGGGAATTCAAACCCTTGGAAAATCCCAGCAATCTGCAGCTAAGGAGGGAACTGGGGGAAATTTGAACTCTTGGAAAATCAGTTTTACCATCTCCATGCTGGAGACCTGCACCTAAGGAGGGAATTGGAGGAATTTAAAGCCTAAGGAGGGAACTGGGGGGATTTGAACCCTAAGGAGGGAATTTAAACTCTGGGCACATCCCGGGTACCGTCTCCATGCCAGCGATCTGCAGCTAAGGAAGGAATTGGGGTAATTTGAGGCCTAAGGAGGGAACAGGGGGAAATTTGGACCCCAGGGAGGGAACTGGAGGGGATTTGAACCCTAAGGAGGGAACTGGGGAGCATTTAAACCCCAAGGAGGGAATTTGAACCCTAAGAAGGAAACTGGGAGGATTTAAACCCTTGGCACATCCCGGGTACCATCTCTGTGCTCGGGATCTCAGTTAAGGAGGGAACTGGAGGGAATTTAAACCTTGGCACATCACAGGTACCATCACCATGCTGGGGATCTGCAGCTAAGGAGGGAATTGGGGTAATTTGAACCCCAGGGAGGGAATTTGAGCCCTAAGGAGGGAATTGGGAGGATTTGAACCCTGGGCATATTGTGGGTACCATCTCCATGCTGGGGATCTGCAGCTAAGGAGGGAATTGGGGTAATCTCAGCCCTAAGGAGGGAACTGGAGGGAATTTGAACACCAAGGAGAGAACTGGGGGAGATTTAGACCCCAAGAATTGAACTGGGAGGACGAACCCTGATCACATCCCAGGTACCATCTCCACACCAGCCATCTGCAGCCAAGGAGGGAATTGGGGTAATTTGAGCCCTAAGGAGGGGATTGGAGGGAATTTAAACCCTGGGCACATCCCAGTTACGGCCTCCATGCTGGAGATCTGCAGCTAAGGAGAGAACTGGGGTAATTTGAACCCCAGGGAGGGAATTTGAGCCCTAAGGAGGGAATTGGGGGGATGTAAACCCTAAGGAGNCGCTGAGCTGGGCTGCACAAGGCTCCAGCAGGGAAGGAGAAAATTGCCAAGAGCCGCAGAGGAGCCGTGGGACGAGGGCAGGGTGTGGAAGGGATCCCAGCAAGGGAAGCCAAGCAGGAGCCCAGGGAGCAGAGCAAGAAGGAGCAAGTCCTTTGTGCAAGCGGGAGAGGAGCGAGGGCGCTGGGTTCAGCGGGTTCCTCTGCTCCACGCTGGCTGCCTGCTCTCCTGAGCTGTTTTCACTTTTATTTACATAAGAGAGCTCTGCAGTGAGTTACTCTTGGCAGGGCTCACCCCACAGAGCTTGCCCGAGCATGTGGGAGAAAAAAGGATTGCTTTTCAAAGCCTTGGAGTCATCGAATTCTTGTGAAATCCACTCCTTTTCTCTTGAGGGAAATTGCCCTGGCTCTGGGTACTGTGCAGTTAGTGCAGCCAGGGAAATAACCACGGCTCAGGCTGTGCCCTTTCCTAGCAGGATGCTTTGGAAAGAGCATGAGGATGGCCGGGGGATGAGAGTTTCTTTTCTGAGGAAAAGAGAGGTTTAGAGCTGGGATTATGTTTTTATAGAAGTTAATAATAATGTGGTTCTCTGGGAGAAATTTGGTGATGAACTTCTTCCCTCAGTGGGAAACCAGGCACTGTGATGACGATGATGATGCACCAAAATAAAATGTAACATCAGCCTGAGGGCCACTCAAAATAATTTTTATTAGTCTGCCTTTCCTACTGCTTTGGAACAGGAGTTTTGAAATGAGCAGCTATTTGGAACTGGAAAAAAATCCCAAAACCCAAAAATAAATTTATTTCAGGCAATATTATAGAAATGAGTATCCCATCCCATCCCTTTATCCCATCCCATCCTGTTATTATATCCTGTTATCTGATCCCATCCTGTTATCACATCTCATCCCATTAACCCATCCCACTGATCCCATCCCATTATCCCATTATTCCACCCCATCCCAATAACCCATCCCATGGATCCCATACCAATATCTCATTCCATTCCAATATCCCATCCCATCCCAATATCTTATCCTATCCCATTATCCCAATATCCTATGGATCCCATCCCGTTATCCCATCCCAATATCCCAATATTCCATTATCCCAGTATTCCATTATCCCAGTATTCCATTATCCCATCCCATTATCCCAATATCCCNTGGGGGGATGTAAACCCTAAGGAGGGATCTGAGCCCTGTTCGCCCTGCAGTTACCGTCTCGACGCCGGCGATCTGCAGCTAAAGAGGGAATTGGGGTGAATTGAACCCCAAGGAGGGAAGTGGAGGATTTAATCCCTGCTCCCATCGCGGTTACCGTCTCGACGCCGGCGATCTGCAGCTCAGCGATGGCAGCGTACAGCTCCTTCCTGGACAGCTGTCCCCCCGAGTAGATGTCACACAGAAAATCCCCCTGCGGGTCGGCAGAGTGCTTCTGCAGCCGGCTGTCGATGGAGTGCTTGGCTGGGGAGGGCAGCATGAGGGAAAATCACTCACAGTCCCACAGAAACACCTGCAAACCCACTTTTCTCAGGGATTTAAAGTGCCGAAATGTGCTCTGTTTGCAAGCAGTGGGTCAATAATGAGGGTATTCAGAGTGAATAAAGGACGGTGTTGTCACTTTTCAAACCAACTCAATCCCAAAAATCGCTTTTCAGCTCTTAGGAATTCTGCCCTCTTAAATTAGGGGAGGAAATCAGTGGCAGGTTGAGGGAAATACTCAACAAAGAGAAACACGAGTGTGTAAAATTTATTACCTGGGGTTTTCAAAGGGGATCAAGGTGTTAGAAAATCAAAGGGATTTAGCACCCAGAACCCCTGAGGGGAAATGTAAACCTTGGATTTACCAGGGGAAGGCACAAAGAGATGCCAAATTTTGACATGCTGGGGTTTTTTTTAAATAAAAAGAAATGGGTTTTGCTCAGGAGTAACCCAGCTGTTAAAATCAGCTCCTGTGAGGAATTACTCACTTTAGGTGAAGGTGTCAGACTGGTTTTTCTGAGCAAAACTGGTTTAAAGTGTCTTTCCTAAAGCCCATAAACCAAGAAGCAATAAAATAAGTGAGTATGTGGCTGGCAGGATAAAAAGCCTTGGGACTCAAATACCCAAGGGAAATATCTCAGTGTTACAACCTTCCAAAAGCTTTCTCAGCCTTTAGTTATGGCTCTCACTGTTTATATCAATGAAATCTTAAAATATTAAAAATAAAAACTTAACTTCATATCTGGAGTTTGAGTAATTTTTAAACTTGGAAGGCAAAATCACTTTAAATAGTCAAAAAGCCAGACTGAACCTTATTATTTAAATTACTTCTGGGTTTAGGATTTACAACTGTGCTACAGGTTGTTCAGAAAAGATATAATTTCTTTTTTTTTTTAGCAAATAGGTTTTTACTGTATGCATAATTCTTGTTTCCCAAGAAAACGAGTCGTTGAGGGAAGTCCCTTTTAATTTATAGCCTTGCCTTTATAGAGATTATACATTTTTAATTTCCTTATTTCCTTTTAGGACAGATTAAATGGTGCCATGACACTGCTGGCTCCCAGAATCCTGGGATTTCCCTGGGAATTGGGTATTGCCCCACAGCCTGGGTGTTAGTCACCAAAAACTGCTCCCACATTGAATAATCCCTGTTTGGGTACAGCAAATGTGCTTTAATCCATGCTGAAGGCAGGGATTAACAGCAGCAAGCATGGAAAAATCAATTATAGCAAGGAGAGGACAGAGATGAAGGGAAAGGAGATAAATTTGGATTAAATAATGACCTGTTTTGAATATATCATCCCATGCTTTGGTGTGAGCTTGCCAGACCTTGGTGTTGAGCCCCTTGTGCAGCTCCACAGGGGTCACCATCATCATCCCGAAGGTGGCCATCATCTGTGGGGGAAATTTCCCTTTAATCCCTTTCCATCCTTTCCCTGCTACCCCTGAACAGCACCGGGCTGGGGAGCAGAGAGAGATTGTCAGGAAGGCAAAATTCTGGTGGATTTTCCATCCTGGACAGAGAGGATGGGTCTGAGTCTACTGAGGGCATATCCAGGTAAAAATCAGGGGCAGCCAGGAGCCTCCTCAGTAAGGAATGCGTCCTATTGATTTCAGGCAATGTTGGGAGTGGTTCAAGGCGTTTTTGGCAGTTTTTCCCTCTCCCTTGACAAAGGATGAGCCGAAATCCCAGGCAGGGCTGGCTGCCTGTGTGTGGTGGCTGAAGTGGCAGGTTTGCACCCCAGAGCACAAAGGCAGCTCTGAGCCCAAACCCCACAGCAAACCCCACAGCCATGCACAGTCCCAGCCAAGCTGACAATTCCCTTCAGGGCTGCCCTGATGCCCACTCAGCATTTCCCCTGTCCCACTGATGGTAAAAGTTGTCATAAAAAAATCTTATAAAACATGGATTAGCTTAGCTACCTCACCTAACAACAGCTTCCAAGTTCCTATGTGAAAACAGCTTGAGAAAGGAGAGTTCATTAACACAACAATTAACTATTCTTGGGGAGAAAAAGTTCACCTGTGACAACCAGGGATCTGTCTGATGAGAATCAGTGAAGAAAATACATTCTTCACTGATATAATATATATAATATATAA